TGGATTCGAAGCTCTTCCGCCATAGATTTCTCTGGCAGAACATTATCGGAAACCAAATGCGAGTTGAAGTTAGGGCAGACGAGTGAGAATTTTTGGCCGCCGGACGTCAGCTTAAAAGCTGCCGGAAATGTTCCTATACGGAACGGCGCATATAAAAATAAGCATTAGTTTGATTAAATAATGATTTTGATATTTACTAATTGCTTAATTGCTATATATGTTAATTAATTAATTAATTTGCGTCATTAGCGGATTTTAAAGGCCTCGTCCAATTTTGGCAATTATTTTATTGGATTAATTATTACATGGTTTCCTGCACTTTGTTCTCATCTTATTTCTTTTTTATTTTTATTTTAGAATCTATTCTCCGCATTTATATTGAAATGTCCGTATTTTATGGACATTATATACGTTAAAACTATGTCCAACAAATCTATATGATTAATGTACGGCATCGAATATTAGATTTTATCTTATTTGTTTGGTCCATTTATATGCATATCACGCAATTACCGTGCATTTACGTATATAACCTCTATATTTTATTTTTTCTACATTTCTGTCATCATTCAAAATTCTCGTAACATTAAACATCGACTATCTGATGATCCGATTAGGAGAGTAGATGTTTTAGCTTCGACTTGTGTTAAGAAAGGCAAAGGTAGACCTAGGAAGACTAGGGCTTATTATATAAAAAAATGATCTTAATTTACTAAAACTAAATGAAAATATGACACTAAATAAGAAAATAGGACGCAATGGAGAAAAATGATTCATGTAGCCGACCCCATGTAGTGAGATTAAGGTTTTGTTGTTATTGTTGTTGTATTCAAAATTCTCGTAACACATTAAAAATATCATCGGTTTAATTTTTAAGAAGAGAAATACGCTTTTTTCATGCATGGATAAGATTTTGTATATATAATTACCAAGTAAAGTATTAAAAATAGTCATTGATTATTTACATTGGGTTATTGTAGTCTCTGAATTTATAGAAGTGTCAAAATAGTTTCTAATTATTTTAAAATTAAGTTTTAATAGTTTGACTACTTCAACACCAATTTAAAGAGTCTCGGACTAATTTGACACTTCTATAAATTTTGGGACCAAAATTTCTCGATGTAAATAATTGGGGACTATTTCGTCAATTTATAAAAAATGAAATTTAAGTATTAGATATATATGATACACAGAAATTAAATGTTAGGCATATAAATCTCCCTATTTGCTCTAATTACAAGCAAATAATCAATCCATCGCACTGAATATTTTAATGTCACAAGCGTTGAAGTGCTTAATTTAATCTTTTAGGTAATTAGTACAAATTAGGTGGCAAAGTTATCATCATTGTTTTTTAATGTGTCTAATTTTGCGGTATTTTAAACATTATCGAATTTAAGGATTTAGACTATTCAATATTTTATGCTTTCATTTGATTTATAAATGCTACATTTTCTTGATTATTCTACATACAAATGCTATTGAGTCATTACTTCAAGGTTGGATTAATTCATTCATGCATGCACTCATCTAAGGATATCCTTCCTATCCTCTTTGGCATCATTGATTTATCCTATAAAAAATATAGAAATGTTTATCTTATGGCCATAGAAGAATATAATATGGACCAAAGGGATGAGATACATTGAAATCCCTCTTTCCATCTTTCTATGTTTTAACTTTATGCAATTTGATGAATTCTTTTGATTAGAATGGAGATGGATTACTTTTATTTAGATTATAAAAATTTATCATTTTGAGCTTAGAACAAAAGTTAGTAGGATTGATGACAAAGATGCTCAATATCTTATGATTGACAACCTGATCGAAAAATCTATGTTAGTAGTCATTAGTTGTTTCATCCAAAGGGATCATATAGACTTGAGGTATGTGTTTGTCTAAATGGATGAATTCGAATCAAGCTTAACAAATACAAAGAATTTTATGTTGTATTAGGTATACCTTATCATTCACAACTTAAATTGAATCATTTCTCGTCCCTAGTTCATTTGTTTTGGACATGATGTTGCCTTGAGATATCTGTTGAATGCTTGTGTGCACATATTGGATGATTTGGTTGTCATGATGAAGTAATTTTGAATTTTTAGATGTGCTTGCACAATTTGTTTTGTGTTCAAACATCATTTCAATTTTTTCAACAAATGCTGAGGTAATTTAGGCTCAAATCATGTGTCACACCAGCAATCCATTGTTTTCAACATGTCTTGTCATTTTGATCATTCGCGTCTTCTTCTTAGGTAAAATTGGTGCTTCGTATATGCTCACAAAGTTCGTTTTGTGAATGAACTCCATTTTGATAACTTCGATGGCAATCAAGGCACCCTTACTTCAATTGATTTGATGTATTTCACTAATTTCATCATTGATGCGTGCTAGAAGATTCGCAGCATTAAGTAATGGATTATCGTCTAAGCGTTGCACAAGAATTGAACACACAATCATATAAAAAGAAGAGAAGTAAGCAGGAGGAGACACCTTAACTTTTTACATAAAAAACTCTTGAAAGAGAAAAAACAACAGGGCTTAGCTCAGTTTAAATAATTCACTATGAATGATGAGTACACAGATCCACTTTTCTCTTAAATTAGGAAAGATTAAATTACAAAGTGGTATAATTATAATCTGATTGTAATTCTTGGTGACAGCGGGTTGCAAGCGTCATAGGCGATTATTGCGGAAGTAGTTGTTCGTGTGAGTGTTGTAGGCAGTTGCTTCAGGAGCGTTGATTGGCTAGAGAAGCCAAAGTAAGCACTTGTACGTGTTGTAGACCATATTGGTCGTAGTTGGTCCCGTAGGTCATACTAGTGAGTAGTAGTGATGTCTGTAAACCATAGGGGGTGGGCTAGAGTTGGGAGATAACTAGTTGTGGACCACATATGTCGTCATTTGTCATATAGGCTGTAGTAAGAAGGAGTAATGACATCCATAGGCCACTAGGGCTAGAGTTGAGAGCTGCACAAGCTGAGGACCACGTAGGTTGTAATTAGTCATATAGGTCGTAGTGGCGAGTAGTAATGACGTCCGTAGGCAGTGGGGGTTAGAGTCAGGAGTTGCACAAGTTGAGGACCACGTAGGTTATTATGGTGGGAAATATAGATGTCTAGAGGCCGAAGGGGCAGGAAATTGGACCTACACGAGCTGAGGACCACTAAGGTCGTAATTGATCACAGAGGTCGTATTAGTGATTAGTAGTAACATCCATAGGTCTCAGTGGTCGGATTCGGGGCCTACACGAACTGAGGACCACACAGGGCGTATTGGTGAGTAGTAGTGATGTCCATATGCCTTGGTGGTCAAAGTCGGGAGCTACATGAACGTGTATGTGGGGTGCCTCTTTAGACAATTTTTGAGATGCATTGTTGCACCCTCTTTGGGGTGGCATCCCGTTGTTCGGGACGATGTGTCGCTCTTCATGTTGTTTCGTGACTCTATGATGTCAGTTAGCTTTGCACAGTGCTTTGTCGCAAGGAGCGGGCGATGACCTTCTAGTGGTGGTTAGCAACATACGACAACTAGTGTCCATTCGACTACATGCGACAACTGTTGGTCATTCGACAACAGTTGGCAACAAGCGGCTACAGGTGGTTGGCAGCTAAGTGATGCATAACATTAGCTCATTCTCTAAGCTTCAAGCTCTTACTCAGGCTTCAAGCTCTTCTCGATCCTTATAAGAGGAGTGGGACTTTATTTTTAGAGTTTTATGTGTAATTAATGAAGGAATATCAACCACTTTGATCGGATAGCTCAGAGGTCTTCTCTTGATTAGACGACATTTGAGTGTCTTAATGATGTTAGAATTGAGTGATTTTTGACTCATTGGATTTGTCTTGTTGAGACTCTCGATTCGATTATTAACTCACCATATCCATTGAACCTCTCAAATATGTCCAAAAAAAACTTTCAAATATGATTTAATGGTTTGATCGGGGTTCGATTTAACTCAAATTGGACCAATGTTGGAACCATTGGGTATGTCTCGTCTAGTTGATTAGTTTGACTATATGTTTGTTGAAATCAGAGTATTGTATGACTTTTAATTGAAGTTTGAATATTTCTTGATCAAAAGATTACCTCAAGATTAGTGGAATGCCTCGGGATTCGTGTCAGATGTTGAGAATTTATTGATGGTGTATCACTTACCTTCCTATTTTTGGTCGAGAGCACCATCATCATATGAAAATATTAAATTCAAAATACTTTATCTTTTGATGATATTTTTTTTCATATATATATATACTATAACAATAAATTTCATACTTACATCAACAAAATGTTGAGAATAGCCATTGGGTACGGTGTTCCTTTGCTACCTACAACATACAAAATAGAATAAAAAATATTTTCCTTTATATCCGGCCATGCCAGATGCGAAAGTGGACGGGCTTTACCCGAATTGAATGCGGGCTGAATTGAAAGGAAGGCAGACGGTCTTCGGCCGCTTGGGAAAACCCGTGGGCTTCCAGAAAAGTTAGATGTGACTTGGGAAGGCGGGACGCCGGGGAGTACGGGAATGCGAGACTTGAAGCGGGCCAGGCGGAGCGACAATAGGCAAATGGACGGACCGGTCAAGAATTAAGGCTAATTCTTTTTTTTAATAACTATTATTTACGTTCAACTGCACATGCTCAAGTTCATTTGCGGTTGGTGTCTTTTATTTATTTGCTTAATAATTTGTCTTGCTATACTATCATAACATCCTTCTCATTACAATAATGAACTTTAATTTCTTTTCACCAAAATGTTTTATGCTAAAAACTTTTTTCTCATGTCGGCAGCCATGAATTTAAAAGTGTATCACTTATCAGATGTTGAGAATTTAAACTTTTTTCTCATGTCGGCAGCCATGAATTTAAAAACAGAATAATGGTCTAAAGACCAACTAAAACCCTTTGTTTGAGAAATATGTGACCTTCTTAACATCTTAATCTTGGCTTGATTATCGTAAGGGATTTGATACGATATCTTCCATTACACGTAAAAAATCATCGAGTGAAACTCTAACGAACAACATTAACAAGGCATTTTTAAAAATTTCCATTAATCTCTCGTACATAAGGAAATTTTATCAAGAAACACTTCAATAAATAATCATAGATGGGTTAACAAGTCTTGGTAGATTTTTCTCAATCTCCATTATATAAATTAACATCACTGAGCAACTAATAATTAGTTTTGTATGGGTCAAAAATTCTTACTAGTTTCTTTCAACATCTTACATTATATGTTAAGATTTGATTAGGTGATATTTTACACTAACAATCCAAGAAAGATGAAATTTCTAAATGAATTATTCATGACCATCCTCAGGAAGAAGCTTGGTTATAACATCACACAAATATAGATATCATTAGTAATTCATCATAATTTCTTCGTCATTTTTTGTTAATTGATGGATTTATAATGATACAAAAATAATTGAATTTAGAAAGCGATGAGATTTATGCATTAAAAATTACAACACTCGCATAAGATATAGAATGTATATTTAACTATACCATGCTCAGATGTAAAGTTTGAATAATGTTCGAATATGGTTCAAACTTAAAATAGACACAAATAGGCTTTGAATAATGTTCATACATATTTCGAGTAAGGTTCAAACATGATTTGATTATAGAATGAAAGATCAAAAGAGCACCATATTGCCCAAGATGCGGTACTTCAACACGAACACATGGACCGAATGTATGATGCTTGTAGAATTACAGAGATTTACTCTCCGTCTGGTGAAATAATCCTAAC